TGTGTGTGTGTGTGTGTGTGCACACTGCTACACTAGTGTGTGCCGTGTATTTTTATCAGTGGTGCTCCAGAGGCCCCCGTGTCGCCTCAGCACCTCATCAGTCTTGTCACGCCGCAGCGAGCGCCGCTGGCCATTGCTGTACCCTGGACTGCAGCCTTTCCTTCCCCTGCCACCTCACACACGCACACAGACATGTGCAGAGCTCAAGACCCACACACATAATGAGGGCTGAATGCACAATGCCAGTGTGTCATGCTCCGACAGCTGGGGCGGCCCCTGCATCTTGACCAGGGCCACAGGCTGAAGGACCTTCTAATTAACACTCATCCCTCCCCTCTTCTCTCCCTTCTTTTAAGCCCTCCTCCCTGTTGCCCTCCCTCGCTCCCTCTCGCTCTTAAGGCTGCATTGAAACTAGTGAAAAGATGGAGCGTCCTCCAACCTCTGCTTCTGAAAAGACCTCTCCATTATTGGCTTCATCTTTTGTCCTCCTTGAGGGGGAAAGGCACCTCTCACCTTTCTCCCTCTCTCTCTCTTGTTCTGTCTTACTCATCTTTTTTCTCCTCACTTTCCTATGACCCGTCTTGTTCACGCTTACCTTTTTTCTTTACTTTAATTTCTTTCACCTCTCTTTTTCTCTCCCCTCATCATCACTCCATCTCGTCCTGTCTCTAGCCCAGCCTGGTCTTGTCTCTTTGTATTTCTGTCAGTTTCTTTCAGTTCTTTTTTCACTATAATCCTCTCTCATAGTTTTGTGCACATCTCCATGGTTGCAGGGACGAGGCAGATAAAAAGCTGTCAGAGGACCAAGGCACCTTGACCCTTTGAAAGTGTCACATTGTTGAAGATTGCTGATTGTTGCTGATGATGCCCTCAGTCTGGTTGGTGTCTCAAACCTCAGCTGTTTCAAGGGCTTTTCCTGAGTCACTCTCTAGCGTCCTAACCACACCTCTGTTCTTCCCTCTCCTGCCTTTGGTTTCTCTCCTCCAGGGCTGCCACTATCTCTCTGATCAGAGCTCAGCTGTGTGCGACTCCTGCCACACAAAATCATGCATGAGGAAAACAACTAAATCTAAACCAACACTGAGACGCATGCAACTGCAAATATTGTTTTGCAACAGTGTTCAAATTAGCCAGCGCCTGCATGTCTCCCTCCTCTCTAAATGAGGAAGTGAGGGGAAAAGAAGAGAGAGAGG